AATGATGCTGAAAGGCACCTATTGGCAGTAAAGCAGAAAGCCCAAAGACCTGTCATGTATATTCATGTGTAACCTGCAAAATTCACGCGTAACCTGCAAAATTCACGTATAACCTGCTTTGATTTTAAGAAAAGGATGAAAAGGCATGAGACCAAGTCCACCTAGTCAAGCATGTTGTCTCTAGGAAGCAGGCAGTAAGCTGTTTGTAAGAGGAAAATGACACACACAGGTATATGCTGAAAGTCTCCTAACTGTTGCAGAAGAACGTTAAGTGCAAGGCAGCAGCAGGGAAGAGGGAAAAAAACTTTCTTTCACAGTATTCACATCTATGAAGTGCAGCTGTCCTAAAAAAAGGTTACAAACAACTGACAAACAGGCATGACAGAGTTCTGAGGCCTCAGATGAAGGTGTGATGGATACTTTCAGCATTGCAACATAACCCAATGCTAAGGAAGAGAAGCCGCAGATGAAAGGGAGAATTGCACACTCTACTGGCGTTTCATATCTAACACAGCAGAAAAACCCATTTCTCCCCATATTCCTCCAGTAAGGGGCCACAGATCTCAGCTATCATCACTGTCAAACGAAAGTATCCTTTGAGCGTATTTCCCCAAAATAAAGCCTGGTACAAATGGACATAGTCTCTTTTCTCTGTAGAGGGTCTCCAAAGTGCAATAAAATCTGAGATGCTGCTGCAGTCTCACCAGGTTCCATACACAGCTGGCACTCCATTTTCTTGACAGTAAGAATCCCCGTCAAACTCCTTCTGCCCCTCCCAGCCCCCATCCAGAAAGACACCCTTTCTCACCTGAACATCACCAGTAAAGCATGAGCTGCTTTACTGGTACGTGAAAATAGATGCTATAAACAAAGCCACCATTCAATCACAGCCAAAGATGAGACAGCAAAATCAGGCTAAATGACAACCACCTAGACAACCACCACCCTCTGTTCTCTGCAGGGGCATCAATATGGCATGGGCTTTCGCTGCAACAGGCAGCAGAAGTAGCAGAAGGCACCCAATGATCCTAAACTGGTGGCAAAGGTCTGGGGCGTTTGCAAGTGAGCTCACAAGCATGGTGAAACTCTAGCTGGAGAAATGGGGCTTATAGTCAGGCCAGTTCTCACTGATTCTCTTAATAACAGCACATATTACACCACCCTCTTCCTTTTTTTTTTTCCCCTGCTATTATTCCTATAAAGAATAAAAATAAAATGGCATTAGCTGCTCTTGCAGCACTCAAAAATGCCTTTCAGGAGCTCCTGCTGATCTCTGCTTGATTTCAGTAGAGTCTTTTGAGATGCTACTTCCCCAGGCTCCATCTCCATGTTCTTCTTGTCTCCTCAGAGCCTGTCTTTCAGGATTTATATTCTGAAGGAGAAAGAAGCAATCTCCTTGGCAGGCACAGGTTTGTGATTTTTATTGCCTTGGTTTTGTATGCAGGCTGTGTCTCCTTGCATTTTACTATCCTTGTTCCCCATGAAATAGTATGACTCTTGCATATTGTTAACCGTACTTATAAGCACCCAGATTAGTCCTGTACCAGTAAATGTGGTTCTCAACCACCTCTTAAAGTAAAGGGAGGCTGACCATGTTTTAAAGGTAGTTTCTCAAGCTCAGCAGCAGGAGAATTTATTTTAGATCTGTTACGTTTTTAAAGAAATCTCAAGTATCTTAATTCCATTTTTCAGTAGCCCTTTCAATGCAGGATATCTGGGACTAGATGTTACATCTCCCCTATCAGACCTTGAAAATGGTTGAAAATCCTGTTCTTTGAACCACCTCAGCCCCCTTCTGTGGTTCTGTGAGTGACAAACATAGATATGATGGGTGTTGTGAGATGCTCCAATGCTAGATCTCCTCTAGCACAACCACAGGGAAATGCAAATCATGATCCAACACTAGTTTGTAGTCTCTGCCAGAAAGGCAATGTAAATATATCTACACTTACTTCAAACCATGGCTGTAACATGTCCTCTGTCAGTGTAAGTCCTATTCTTTTCTAGACTGATGTTTTGAAGAAATAGCTCATTTTCACAATTTTCTTTATCTCTGAGCCTTTATGAAGCTGCTACATATACACAGCTTATGCTTACCATTTACATTTTCCTATACCCATATGAGCCTGCTGAATTCTCCAAAGAATTTCAGATTTCAATGCACTTTGCACTGCTATTGTTACCTCTAAAGACTGGGAAATTCTTTACAACAAACTCTAGTCTGAACTGGAAATGTGAGCTTGCTCTGCAATTCCCTGACTCCTTCACACTGACAGCCCTAATGCCTTTTTATAATCTCTCATCTTTTACCGAGCCTCTGCAAATTTATTCCACATTTCTGAGAGCAAGCAGTTCCTTTCTCTCATATTTATGTGCATTGTATTTCTGGCTTGCTTTATCTTACATAAGTAATGTTTTCAAACCCAATACTGGCTTCTTTTTACCAGCAGCTATAATAAACTGAATATATAACAGAGTATAAGACCAGGGCAAGTATATATATCCGTGCCTAAGTTGCTTAGACCTGCTTTCACTGCTCCTCTGAGAGAGGCAATTTCATCTTCTTTACAGGTCTTTTAGTTTCTTCATTCCCGGCAGGAAATTAGGGCCCTTCAAAACTCCTTCTTCAGCCCCTCTATAGCAATATACATTAGATAAAAACCTAATCTTCCCTTTTCAGAAAGCTGAGATTCTTGTGTAAAATTTAGACACAGAGGACTGAAGGAAAACCTAAGGTCTCACAAGAAAAAACAATCACAAAACACAGAAGCACTGCTTCTCCATCCCACACCACCAGCTGCTTGTAATGCCATCCTTTCCTTCAGTCAGATCCTCCTTCAGCTCGTTACTTTATATAGGGAAAAGCTGGTCCCCTCAAAGACCTAACATAACTCCATGGGCTGAAGAAGACCAATATGGGGATATACAGGACAGGGGAGGTGCAGAGGCTGGGTCCAGCTGCAATCCAGATTAGGTGTTTTTGAGACAAAGAACAGCTATGAATATGGGTTTGTAACTGCACATTCAGATACTCATTGCTTAATCATTGCAATTTAGGAAGACACATGACAAGCACCCGTGACATGTTTCTATAATAGCAACAGCATCATGAACACTATGAAGGTCACCAGTGTCTGAGAGAAGTTCAGTCCTTGACTTGTGCTGATGGAGAACATGCTTTTATTAAGGCTGAAGTCACAGGTTTATATACCCTACATACTCTCACATGGACTGCTTGCAACACCTAAGGCACTACACCAGAGTGTTACAGGAAGGTCTATTTAAGAGGCCTGTAAAAAACCTTGACTTTTGGACCAGTTTTGGTTCCTGCGTTTTAGGTCACTGTCTAACCAGCCAGTGTCCAAACTAACACCAGACTGTACCCACCCCTTGGGGTAGGGGGACATTATTTAAGCACTGGTTTTCCTAAACCTTCATCTCAAAAAACCCACAGTCATTCTCACTGAAGGTCTGATACATAATCTACCTATGCAACAGTTGACATTAATGTAATTATTTGAAATGTAGCTATTATTACAGCTGGGTGCAAGATTAATGTCCTGGTTGTTATGAGGACTATCCTAAAAACACTTCCCATCAAGAATTCTGTAAATGATATTTAAGATTGCACATGATATTCTAAATCTGAACTCTTACCAAGTTGAACATTTGAGCTAGCAGTTAGGCTCTTACTCTTAAAACATTTAATTAAGTTATGTATACAGCTTGGTGAGACATTAATTATTTCAAGGACTTGGAACTAAAGGAGTTCACAGGTATATTTTGTAATACAACCTCTAGAAATTCATAAGGACAAAATTGAATGAATAATTTCATTTTCTCATTAGCATGTTAGCTATGCCTTATATGCATCAAATCTGAAGAGGGAACTAGAAGTAGAAATGCCCAGACCACATCACTAAATGTGCAAAGTCCATTGTAAAGCTGTAAAAATGTAGTAAGAAATTTTCACACCAACTTAATGTCTGTGACACAGCCATTCATTGGGAATTCCTCTACATTCTCCAAACTGATGTATTCAGTAAATCTCATCTAGGTAATTAAAACCACTACTACGGTTTCATGTTCCAGATAGATCTGGATAGATATCCAGATAGATCTGGCAAGTACACACCCAGACTTTTCCTTTACCATGCCAGCACCAATCATTTTTCCTTCAGCTTAGTATCTGTGATACAATTTGACACACAAGTCCTGCTTGCACTACACTCCCAAAGTATGTTCCCACTGCTGTGTTTTTAGGGTGAACTTTGGTATAAATCCCTCTGATGGTTACTGATCCTGATCCAGAGTTTTTTGCAAGTTATGGGCCACATCTTTAGTCTTTTACGACATTTTCTCATCTTAAACCACAAAAGAGTGACACATGGACCAAAGCAAAAAATACTATTTCAGGAATGCAATAATTTGATTCTTATTTGTATATACTAGAGAATTCTTATTTTCTTTTCATGGTTATTCAATGGCCTACCTTCAGTGGCTTAATGCCTTCTGGGGAATGGCTCTTTTCTTATCAATTTTAGATTACTTTTCTCCATATTTACTCCTATCTCCTATACAGCTTTTTAAACCAAAATCAATTTCAGTGTTGCCTCAAATAGCCCTCCTGGCTGTGCAAGGATAGATTCTCGAACTTCATTCCTGGAATTCAAATTAGAGTCTGCATGGTGTTAATCCTGGTCTTAAATAGAGAAGCACACACTTATTTGGCTCTTCTAAGATCCTGACCAAGGCACGTTATAACCATCCTCAATTTAGTTCACAGCTGCTATGTCTGCAGAGGGATCCCAAACAACGCTGGAGCTCAGCTTTATATTTCAAGCATCTTAAGTCTGTGTTCACACCCAACATAATAAGCGCATCCTCAGGTGCTCTTCCAGTGCTAACAGCAGCTCTGTGCCCAGTTAACTTGTGCAGTGCCATGCAAAGCACTGCTGTATAGCAATATTTTACAATGCTCGAAGCACACTTTTACTTACCCTGCCTTTATATTGCACTGAACAAGAGCTGCATACAGTTTTCTTCCTGGTGGCTGGCATGTACTCCACAGAAAGAAAGCAGTGAAAGAACAATGTCTCTTACTGCTGCATGTCCTTAGTTCAGCTCCTAATTTGCAGTCATCTCCCATCAGCATGCTGATTATGCTCTGTGCTCTGCTACAATAATACAGCAGACTAGATCTCTCCTCGTATACAGGCAACTTTGCCTTGTGACTGCAGGTAGCAGGACCAACCCTACTGCCTCTTCATCCTCAAAGTGATATAGTTCACTTGGAGCACAGCAAAAAAGAGTGAGTCTCCAGAGGGAAGGGAGGACATCCAGCCTATGGGGGAGCAGAACAAGAGAAGGAGGGGTGAATGCATACATTCACTAACAAATAAAAGAGGAATTTAGTCTGAAAGGAGGGAGCAATCCTGAGCCTGCCAGGCTTTGTTGCCTCATGCACTGTGGTGACAATGCAGAGCCATGTGCTCTCCTAGAAAATGTTCTCTACAACAGGTCCTGAATCCAATGCCTCCTGCAACAACACCTGACATGAAGACCAGCCACAGCCAAGCAAAACACAGGCCATGGGGAAGGAGTCAGCATGGAGGCATGTGCATGCCCACAGTGCTGCATGTGCTTTCTGGAGGAGGTACATGCCTGTGTCCATTGCTGAAATCCAAGGAAGAGTGGGCTGTTGTAGAGCAATTCCTACCCATGTTAGGTCATCAACCACGCACATGCTCCCTTGCCTCTCTCCACAGTACCTTTATCCACCTAGCTGTGATGCTTCACAGTATGCAGACACTCAGGCTAGGTGGAAAGCTGTGCAAGGAGGAGCTCTTTACAGCAGTTCCTTCCAAATAAATCCACTTTCTTCTCTGCAGTAGGGAAGTTAAAAGAAATAACCCATGTGTGAGTGAGAACAACACTGTTGTAATGAAAGATGGAAGAGACAGCCAAAGCAGAGAAAAATAAGGCAGATTTCAGATAAAGAACAGGGAAAGAGAGGTGGAGGGAAGAAAGCCAAATCTTCAGTCCTGAAAAAGTCAGTAACAGAAATATTATTTATGTGTATACAGGTAAATCCTGTTCTTTTCCTTCATTACCAATTTAATGTAATGAGTCAGGGGAAATGGCTGATAACCTTTAAAAGTGTCGATACTTGATATCCACAGTTCTTTTTCCTGGCTAGGCATAAAGCTGTCTGCATCTTGAGACAATGAAGAGATGAACTGGTTTAAAGGTGAGAAAATATTTAATGCTGACTTTACATCTAAGTGCCTTACCCACCACCAGGCCAGCCTGACAGCCCATAAAACCTGATTGCTCCTTCTGGGACTCTGATATCTGAGGGAGCAGGAAAAGTGTCTTTAGACAGTGGTGCAGTGCACTGGTATGGGTGGGGGATGATGCCACAAGGATACTGGGGATGCGTGTGGATCATAGAATCATAGAATAGTTAGGGTTGGAAAGGACCTTAAGATCCTCTAGTTCCAACCCCCCTGCCGTGGGCAGGGACACCTCACACTAAACCATGCCACCCAAGGCTCTGTCCAACCTGGCCTTGAACACTGCCAGGGATGGAGCATTCACAGTTTCCCTGGGCAACCCATTCCAGTGCCTCACCACCCTTACAGTAAAGGACTTTCTTTATACCCAATCTAAACTTCTCCTGTTTAAGTTTTAACCCGTTACCCCTTGCCGTGTCACTACAGTCCCTAATGAAGAGTTCCTCACCAGCATCCCTGTAGGCCCCCTTCAGATACTGGAAGGCTGCTAGGAGGTCTCCACACAGCAAAACTTACCCCAAGAGCAGCCTGTCTTAAGAAAAATCCCATCAACCATTCCAGCCAGGGGCAATGTGAGAGTCTTCAGATGGATGAGCTGGTATCTCCCTGGGATGATATTTCCTCAATCTTTTAAACACACACCTCCTCAGATTTTTGTTTTTTTTTGCTTTATCTATCTTTATGTGATCTCCTTAAGTGTTCCCATCATGAATTTCAAAATCAGATTCCACATAGTTTTGCCCCTTAACATTACTAAATCTGGATAATTTCATTTTACTGCTTAACTTCTATAGATTTTTTTTCTTCTTGTAATGAAAGTTTAAAAATCAGCTGTGGAAAGAGTGCTTTGCAGAAGAGGAAAGCATAAAAAAACTTTTTTCTTAAAGGTATGATGCAGTAATAAATTTGTGTATATAAAACTGGAGAGATAATCTCTCTATGGGGCTGTTTTGTGCTTGTTTAGACATTATCTTTTGAGGCAGCCAGCAGGTTTTCATTAAAAAAGAAGTATGATGTGGGGATATAAGCCCAGTTTAGTGGTGCTCAGGTGGGTGCCTGTTTAAGCATTTTTTCATGTTATGGCTTCTTGGAGTCATATGTAAGAATAAGAACAAATATTTTAATGTAGTGCCCAGTGTGAGGAAATACTCAGTACGAAAGCTTTAAATCTGGCTTCACATTAGGAACTCTTTTTTGAATGGCTGATTGTCATCTTACACCTGAGGAAAGGGCAAAGAAAATAGAAAAGAAAAAGTAAAGAGAGAGAAAATGAGAAATTAGAGAGGGGAAATTGCGTAGATTCAGGAGGGGAAAAATACCCAACACACAGAACCAAACAAATAAGCAGGAGGCAGAAAAAAAACAACCCAGGGAAGTATTTTGAAACTGTCGTGGTTTAAACCCTAGCCAGACAGCTTGTACACTCACTCCCAGTGAGTGGTGCCGGGCTGAGAGCAATCGAGGAAAAGGAAAATCAGCCTTCCAGAATGAGTAGGATATTTATATCCTCTGCACCACCCTCCCACCAGTCAAATCTGATTAATTGGTAAGCGAGTCCACAAATGATAAGGAAATAGCTGGTAAAGTGACAGCAAACATGGGCAGACAATAAAGCCATGCTTGGAAAAGCTTTGTTTCCTTTGGAAGCCAGACTTCAACCCATTCTGCATTGAATGTGTTTCCTTCTCTTTAGGAAGTTCTCATTTAGGCAGAGTCTGGTGGGACTCCTAGTGCCCAGCTCCATGTTTTACACAGGACATCACGCTGTTCCAGTAGAGCTGCACGGCCCTCCAGATGTGTGCCCAGAAACTGGTGCACAAACATGCCACCCCATTCTGTTTGCAGGTCCTATTAACATTCCCCTGCTGGAGCTGGGTTGTAGCTTAAAGGTAACAATCTTCAGAGGGTCTCAGCCCTTGCTTTCTTAGGAGGATCTAGGTTTCTCTTCCTGTGCCCAGCTTTTGGCCTCTGAGTTGCTGAGAGCCAAGTGTTGACCCTCATGCACCTGAGTGAGTTCTATGCAGCTGAGTGCTGTTCTTGCCCAGATGAGAAGAATTCTGGATAACTAGAGAGTAAAATACTGTTGTAAAATATTGAACCTCCAGGCATGGTTAATAAATCATGCTTTACAGGGTGATTTTTACTGTATATTTGAAAAGCACCATATATTTGTAGTAGCAGTGGTTCTGAGAAAGGTTAAACATGTCGCTGCTAAAGAAAACGTATTACAGATCTGATATTGCTGGAAGGGCAAGTGCTCTTTTCCAAGAAACCAGAAGCAAACCAAGGTCTTGAAAAATGACAGGCAGGAGCTTGTCCATAGATGATACAAATAAATTTGAAGGGAAAGAGAATTACTGTTTCAGATGTGGATGCACAATGGCAGGCAGGATTGGCCAGTTCTTGAATCATTAGAGCAGCAATAGCAGCTCTGTCTAAATGTACCTCAGTTGGGCTGTTCAGCTAAATGACAAGATAGAAGACTGAGTTGCTGCTACTTAGGCAGGCCCCTTTTTTTGCATGTCTCAGAATTATGGTCCCATTAGGATTAAAACAACTGTAAGCAAGTCTTCAAACAAAATGCTCAAACATCTCATTCATCACTTTGCTACCAATAATGAAGCTAAAGCTGATTCTGTAAAGCAATTTAACAGCACTTTAAAATCTAGAGTTCAGAACCCACAATACTTCTTGCTACATGGATGTGTTAGCAGTATTTATGTACCAGAGCTAACTGCCACTTTCACAGAAATGTATACAGCAGCCTTGAGGTTTACAACTACCTTGTATTCCCAGAAGGTTTGGGAAACTATGGGAAGTTTGGTTTGGTTTTAATAAAAGAGGTGCTCTGTGTTTGTAAGAAAAGAGACCGTCTAAAAGCATCTAAATCCAAAGGAACATCGAGTAAGTTTATGGATGGTTGTTCACTGATGACATTTTCACAGTGACTGAAAGCATGAACCTGTCACACAGAATCACTTGTCAAGTGAAAGAGTACAAAGGTAGGGTGATTCATAGTTATTTTTGCCTGAAGAAGTACAAAGCACTCATGCCAAACAGCATGCTTAGTGGATGGAAAGAATAGTACCTTGAGAAACAGAAAGGGAAGAATAAGGTGGTTACTGCTTCCGAAATCCTCTGTGTGGGAGGGTATTTTCCATGTCTGCAACACTTGGATGCAATGCTTTCCAGCATAACCATTTAACAGGGAGGTTTCCATCACTCATCCCAGCAAAATCAGCACTCGAGTATTCAAAAAAAACCCCAAATCTGCTTTTCCAGAAGAGTTAGTTATGCCCTTGGAATTCTTGGGAATCAAGTGTAATAGAAACACATCAGTCCTAGGACTGGAAAGCAGAGTTTTCTGAATCTCTTATATGGGTAAGAAATAGTCATGGCTTTTGAGTAGTCCAGGGATTACTTCTCTAACGTTTAACATGGCAGTCCATAACTTCTGAGTTCATCACCTGAAGGTTGATGTGCTTGGAGGAAAGCTAACCTGAAAGCTTTGGATAGCACTTGAGCATTTTGCATCACGCGTCATCCAGTGAACACCGCTGAACTGCAAAATCCTTTATATTCCCTTTTCCGCAGATGTTTCCAAAGGATTGCAATGCAAGATACCAATGTTTAAGGGGCCCTCTGCATTGCTGCTTTATTGCATACTTATCCAGGACAAAAAAGCCCACAGATTTCTTACCACTGCTTATGACTATCCATATTATTTTCCTGTGAGTAAATATCCTATTGTCACCACTTCACTGCAATAACTTCAGATCTGAACTGAGATATTTAATTTGTATTTTGCAAGGTGATGGTTGAACTGTCCCCCACAAACCTCTGTGGAAATTAAAACTGAAACAAACTCACACCAACAAGTATTGTGATAGTGAAAATTGTGGTGATCCTAAATGGCGGTGGAGTCTGGATGGGATATTCCTCCTTAGTGTATGGGATTCTTTGTGATTTATGGAGGCAGAGCTATTGTCCTTTGGAAAATTGCAGTTTGGGGAGAAGGAGAGGTAGAGACTACTAAGTGCTGTATTAAAATAACCATATAAAACATTGCTAAATGTATTATAAGTTACATCTTGAAAACTGTTTTCTATAATGGAGTGAACTTGCTATATGGAGGATTTCATAAAGTCTTATAAGAATTGTAAGTTATCACAATACACAGGATACTTCTAAATCTCTTGGAGGAAAAGCTGTGAAACATCTAGTCTGCTGTAGATGAAAGACTTGGAACAAGCTGGGAAGAAAGACAAAGAGCTCTCCTGCGGGTGAAGAAGGTGGTTAAAGATGGCTTTTGTCACTGCTGATCTAAAGAGTGTACTAAATCTAAAGCAGACCTGTTTCAAATAACTCTCATATAAAGACCAGGAGAGAGAGGAAAAACCCATGCACTGAGGTGCCAGTAATCAAAAAGATAACAAAATTTAACTTCAGTCCAGTATACTCCCTATTATTTCACCAGCTGTTATAAGAATACTTTTTATTACTCATGTTTTTTATGAGGGTCTTTTTTTTTTAGTAGCCTTGTCAAAAGCATGTTTTCTTTTAAGATGCTGAAGGCTGATTTTGAAATGGCTGCTACTAA